TTGTAAAAATGAGAAGGCCTGAAGTAAAAGAAGGAGATGGTTATTGACCGTGAGGTGGGCAGAGAGAAGTTGGCAGAGGTGAATGCAGGGACACCTTTCCATGTGCGACATGGCACTACAGCCACCCTGGTATTATGCAAATGTTGATCAGAGCAACCGCTCAAGACACTACACAAAAGTTGACTAATTTAAAGTATTTATTTATTTGTCCTGTGTTCTAATTATTCTAACCTAATTCATTTAATTGGAAATCTCCCTTCCAAAACAAAATGAAAAAAAAACATCTTGGACAGCACGTGAACCTACGTTGTCGATATTCTTATATTCTCGTGGGACGAATATTTTGCTAGATAAAATAGACTAGTGTGGAAATTGTTTGGCCGTATCTTTCTTCCCGTTGTCTTTCATTTTATTGAAAGCAAGTAACCCAAGCCCAAGAGTAAATTTATTCAATCAAATCATCATTGATTTCAATCATCAATCATAGCCACCAGATGACTTCGGAATCTCCTGCAACTCTTCTAGCCTCCTTGTTTAAGTTGGTGAATGCTACCATAATCCTTGCTTTCAGTTCATCTTTGGTGTTACAAGGAATTTTGTTGGTTTCTCACACAACTGTGCCCCACATGTAATAATCAAAGTGGTTGCAGTCAAGGGAGATAGGTGGCCAGATATAAAGGGTGATGTGGTTGCAGAAATTGTCTGCCAGCCATAACTGGGATCACCTGCTTGTGTGGCATGGTGCAGTGTCCTTTTGCCAAATATAGGGTCTTCCAACAGCAACCCTCTTAACCTAGGGCAGCACTACCTCCTCAAGGCACTTGATGTAGGTCTCCATGTTGAGGCCCTGTGGGTAGATGAATAGAGGAATAACACCGCCATCACAAGTAATCACACCAAACACTTTCATAATCACAATTAAATTCACCCTATTCTTTTTTAATCCTCTGCACTGTCCTTGAATGCCTCTTGCTTTATTTCTGTTTATTTTTTGCAATTTATTTTAACATGCGAACATTCTGAAATGTTTATACTGGAGCTTCCAGAGCAAATGCCAATCAGTACAGCATGCCATTTCCAAACATAAAGCTCATCATGATGCTCTTTTTCTCACAGACGGGTGCCCAACTGACCCTACTATACTGTGCAGTTGACAAAATCAAAAACAAACAATGTGCATATGCAAAATTAAAATTATAAAATGTTGATAATTTACCCAAAAAGCTTCTTCCCATGAGCCATTATTTCACGATCACTACAATGTTAACCTGTTCAAGTCTAGAGTCAACTGTTATCTTCACCTCCTATTCATATAAACTACATCTTAACATAATCTTCTACCTTGAGTGGGCCCCAGGCCTTGTACAGAGTGAACCTTACCTTAGAGAGAGAGAGAGAAAATAGAGAAGGAGAAAAAAAATGCCAAAATAGAACCAGTGTAAATGAATTTTTGTAGGGCACTTGAGGATTTATTGCCTCTTAAAAGGGGCTAAACACTAGGGAAATGAGCCCCCATAAATCCAACTCCTCACAATATCAAAGTAAAATGTATACTTTTAATTGAGCTATATAATTATGATATGTTCAAACAAACCAGCTGACCCAACCCAGGAACACACCCAACTCCATTATGAAACTGGCACTGAGTTTTGTTCACAACTGGAAGCAATGATCACACGGGGGTCTTCAAACTTGAACTATTGTTACACATTCTATTGCAATACAAATTTGGATTAATCTTACATATTCTATTGCAATATAAATTTGTACTATTGTAATACTAACTCAGATTAGTGTGATACATTCTATTGCAATACAAACTTGAACTAATGTCATACATTCTATTTTGATGTGAACATAGACTATTGTTATACATTCTATTGCATTACAAACTTGAACTATTGTCCTCATCTTTGTTGTTGCCATCACAATGTTTTGGCCATTGTGGCCTCCAGCCTTCACCAAATTTATGTTGATCTAATCTACAGGGAATTCCAAATTGAAGTCCTTAGTCACTGTAGGTTACCCAGACCCACATATACCTGATGAAAACCAGAGGGAACAACAGCCAAAACATGTGGTGACAGCAACAAAGATGAGGGCAATAGTCCACCTGTAATGATAACTGTTCATCACAAAAATTCAGACAGACAACGAAATTATATTTTTAAACATAAAAACTATTAAATGACACAAAACTATGAAACTTATTAATTTTTATCATAGGCCCACAAGCAAAAAACTTCCATGCAGAAGAGAGTGCTTATTTAAAATTTAAAGCAAAATCAGATCTACTTTTAACAAGAAATCTAAGAGAAGCACAATAGGAGTAGACAGGTTTGACATCATCTGGGTTCACACTCCTCCTTGGTCTTTTGAACAAGAGTAGAGGTTTGTCACTCAGTTTCCGGTTCCTTCTAAAGTTGACTTCAACTCTATACTTCTAATATATCTGCCTAAAGCTCTGAACTTTTATTTACTATTTATTTTTCCTCAATAGGAGTAGACAGGTTTGCCTATCGTCTGGCTAACACTCCTCCATAGTTTTTTGATCAGGAGTAGAGGTTTACCCCTTGTTTCCTGTTTAGGATTAGGTTTCCATTTCCTTGTAATGTCTTTTCATTTTCTTTCACTCACAGTAGCTCCTTCTGTCTTAGTGGCATTATCACCTTACTTGGGGTGAATTGATTTAAACAATATATATATATATATATATATATATATATTTATATCTTTGTAGTTGTGGAAAGACTGGCAGCATGACAGTGACCTACTCTCATAGAAATTAAATTTATGTAATTAACTAACTGTGACATAAATTTAAATATTATCATCACTCATATGTCAAGACGAAAACCATGACAAGCAGGTTGAGTAAAATATTCATCATCACATTTAATTCTAAAGCTTATTTCATTTTCAATACAGAGCCGACATGAATTTATATTTTCAATCAGCTTGAAAAGTCTCTAGCACCAAAAAGTTAATAAAAACACAAAAGTCACTAAGTAGAAATACTGACTTTATTAAAATGTTAAAAATCATAAAATTAACAACAGAATGATTCACCCAAGATTACTATTTCATTTAATTATTAAAATGAATAGATAGATAATAAACAGACTGAGATAGAAACTTTCCAAATACCTGAGCTTAACAACTTTAACAAAATTCCCTAATAACAATCATAAGTATGATTACAGACCATTATTTAAAGAAGTAAGAATATACAACTGAAAATATTTGAAATTGCCAAGTTTTTCTATTTCTCTGAAGCAGAGCATAAATATAGGAAAGTTTTATTACACTCTCTTTCTTCTTTCTTTTTCTCACTGAAACCAAATAGCATCTCTGATAACTCTTTTCCATTTTTCCACACAATCAAAACCAAATAGGTCATTATTTACAAAGTGTTGGCAAGGCATGTGGCCAAGTGATTTTTATTTATTCATTTCACCCCAAGCAAGGCAATAAAGCCACTAGAACACAAGGGGTTACTGAATGTTAAAGAATATGGGAAAAACTACTATTCAGGAGAGAGGACAATAAAAGAACTACAATTACGAAAACAGAAGATAATGATTGACATTGCATTTAAATTTTGGAAGATCAAATTTGACTGGGGAGCAAGAAGCTGGAAGAGTGTTCCACAAGGGAGAAGTGTGATAGAAGAAGCTGTTAGCATAGAACTTACGGTTACATCTAGCCATTTCAAGTGTAAAATGATGAGACCAAACAGCCAATCTAGTACTGTGCTTAAATTCATAAAGTCTAATATGGCCTGAAAAGATGTAATAAGTATTGATTGATTGTTTTCTATGGTTTATCAATCCTTTTGCAGGTGATTTAAAGCCAGAGAATATTTTAGATTGTAAGGATTTTTTTTTTTTTTTTAGTGGGGAGATAATAATGATTTTAGTGATAAAAGTTCAAGTTGCAGGTAACTTGGACTTGTATCACTAAAATCATTATCTTCCCACTAAAAAAATAAAATCATCATGTAATACAACGTGGAAGATGGACATAGGAGAGGACGCCAATGTAAAAACTGGTCGGACAATGTCAAACAATGGACAGGTATGACTATACCAGAAATGCTGATGGCTGACATTGATGGACCATTGTGGAGAAGATTCAATGTGAAAGCTTCTGCATTCAGATCCCCTCTATGTTTGCAAAAGTCAAGCAGATGATAATGATGATACAAATCTTACTAATTAACCCATATCTGGGAGAGAAGAGGTGAATCCATATCTAATCAGAATTTGATAAACAAACAAGAAATTATAATGTGGTTATAAAATTGGGGATCTATTTTGTATTACAAACAATATGTAAACTGACCCCTCACTTTGTGGCCACTGTAGTTTCTATACATTTATATTCCAGGGACTGTAAAAAAATCTAAAAGACATGGCTGTGTACCTAATCTGTATTTTGTTCATTGATTTATAAAATGATTTATGATTGAAAATTTATAACAAAAAGTGTTTAGAAAGAAGAGAGAAACAGAATTCAATAAAATGAAAGAGAGAGAGAGAGGGAAGAAAGTGCGAGAGGAAAAAAGAAAGAAATAAGATATAGCAAGACGAGGAGGGAAAATGTTTGAGGACGAATAGAGAAACAGAATCTAATAATATGAGAAAGAGAGAGAAAGAGAAAGAGGAAAAAAGAAAGAGAGGAAGGAAGGGAGAAATAAGATATAGCAAGACACAGAGGAAGAAGAGAGAAACAGAATCCAATAATATGAGAGAGAGAGAGAGAGAGAGAGAGAGATTTGCAGGCTATTTAAAGCCAGAAGATATTTTAAGGATTTTTTATCGGGAGATAATAATAGTTTAGTGATACCAGTTTTACTAATTAACCCATAGCAAGGGGAAGAAGAGGTAGATTCATACCTTTCCCAAGGTTATTTATGCATTAGTGAATATAACACACTGGACTAGAATTGGAACTTAGCTTTCCGAATTCCGACTCATTACACCACCTGCACATCCAAGATTACAGCACCTCATTTTCCCATGCAGTCACTCATCTAAGTTCTGACTAGGTTCGACATTGCTTAACTTTGGAGATCATATGGATACCAGTGCTTCAACATGATGTGCTCATAAGCTTGTACTAAGCATTATATAATAAAGACAATATTTATACTATTTAGATCATTCAGACTGTTGTCCTCATCATTGCTGTCATATTTACAATGTTTTGACTGCTGTACACTCCAACCTTCTTCAGGTGATATACATTGAAATTTTGAACCAAATGCTTTTATCCACTCGACAGATATGGGTAAAAGTGTTGGTTGAGTAATCCCAAAAAAGTGACTTGACCCAAAGAGTTGTGAGTTCAATACCTAACCACAGCAGATGGAACAAAAACTTGGAGAGTTGAGTTACTAAAAGGAAATAACTACTACTGGAATATCAAAAAAAAAACAAAAAAAACCCAAAGGCATGACATGTGGAATTACAACAATCTACCCCCATAGACTAAATAAAGGGTTTGGTTTGAAATTCTAACGTGTATCACCTGAAGAAGGTTGGAGCATACAACAACCAATTTGTCATCAATATATAGCAATAAAGACGAGGACAACAGTTCAGACTAGAGTTGGTCGATTTGGTAATTTTTATGGTTTAGTATCAGTTTCCAGTTGTTCTCTTAATACTGCCAGGTTCAATTTGGTTTTTCATTTTGTATTTTTGCTTTCTAAGGAAGCCATTCATTTTCTTGTGTAATGATAACATTTCTAGTCAATATCTGATTTCATTTGAGATTGATAAATTTGCAAGTTAGTCCGTTCAACTCACAATGTTGCATGTATATCTGGTCTAATCTTAAAAATATTCATATGTCTAGAAAGAAAAGAAAATAATCTTTCTAAATATGTAATTTGTATGTGCTTTTTCATTGAATTACAAAAATGCAAAATATGATTTTTTTTTCCAAGAGTAAATTTTACGTGAAAAATCAATATTCTTGAAAATTGTACACTCAATTAGAAGATACCTTAAACTACAACCAGGAAGATTTTGATTTCTTTTCTGACCCGAGGAAGCGAATTCATTCAAAAATTATAAAGTAAGCAAAAAAAAAAAAAAAAAGCAACTGAAATAAATGTGTGGTAAAAGAACTTGCAAGTTATTGAAACTACTGTCTGACTAGTGACTAAAACAGAATAATTTTTACTTTGGGTTTAAAAACATGACGTGCCGTTTTGGAAATCTACATATTTTTAAGAGAGAGATTAAAAATTACTTTATTTTTTTAATATTTAATTTTAGGTCTATTATTCGCTAGATAGGAACATAATTTTATTTGTAGAAAACAAACAATTTTACTACACTACTCGCATATCTAGAAATATACATATTTTAAAAGTGAAATTAAGAACTATTTTAATTATTCTTAATATCTAATTTAGGTGCATTCCCTAGATAAAAAAAAAATTTTTTTTAAAATATCTTCATTCATTTTTCTTGTATAAAACAATTATATTTCGTGATTGGCGTACTCACTGACTTCTTACTAGAAAACAATTACGTACGACCCTTACAAATAAATCCGACTTCATAAAATTTAACATTAAGACAAAACTGGCAACTTTTTTTTTTTTTTTTTTACTTGCTATTTTGTTGTTAAGTTAATTTTACCACAAAAAAGATTTTTTTTTGAAAACTGAAACAAATAGATTTCAGACATCATGTCGTATATTTCCTTCTTTTTTCTTCATTTCTTTCGTAAACAAACAGATTTTACATTTAAAACAGTAAAACTAGTCAAATGTTTTTTAACATATTTTTGTTCAATCTTTTTCTCTTGCAATGGTATAAATGTCGATAAAATTAAATTTTATTAACATCTGAAAGTCTTTTTCAATAGTGCTTCATTGGATATGGTCACTCAGTAGCACTTAAAAAACTGAACGATTTTCGGTTTCGTAAAAAATTAAATGCGGTTTCGTGGCGTGAAGATGAATCCGAAAAAATCGGTTTTTCAGTTAAATCGCTCATCTCTAGTTCAAAAGATGTAAATAATGTAAATATCTCATCTCAGAAATACAGACAGATAACAAAAACAATGTGAAAAAATCGTAATGAAATATTGAATATTAGATCTGGTAAATTTTGTTTTTGCTTTTTATTTATTCTTGGCCTTGGTACTCACTGTAAAATGCAATTAGACAGCATTCCACATGTGTACCAACACGCACGATAAAAAATCCACTCTCAAATGAACTGAAAAGTAATAACAATTGATTGAATAATAACATTTACGATGAGAATTGTCAACGTGCGGTAGAGCCCAATTTACAAAGGGCTCATGAAGAAAAATTTTCCCTCAAGTGCTTTCTGTGAGAACTAATACAAGTAAAACGTTGCCCTGAGGTTCGTTAAACAGTTCAAACAAATGCTACCCAGGATGATAGCTGTCTTTCATTTATATTTTCTACTCTGATGCAACAACAAGAAGAATTAGAGATGTCTTCCAAGAAGGAAAGTAGCAAGTAGCCGATATTTTCATCTGGTGGAATAACATGCAATATAAATAATAATACATAACAGGATCTAAAAACAGATTTATAAAATATAATAATTAATAAAATAAAAAAAAACGAAAAATTATAAATTAATACAGTTGAAAAATTATGTAGCGCATTACGATCGGATAAAGAGTACAAGTCACTAAAAAGAGTAAAGAGTACTGTCACTAAGTGTGACATACTTACACCACTACATTTTCGGCCAAATGTCCGAGTACCAATAAAATAAATAATTTAGCCATTGTTATGATTTATATAATTAATCATGATTTGCATAATTAATGAACAAAGAAATAAAGTTTGTGTTGCAAATAAATTCATCTCCATTTCATACTTGAGAGTTGACCGACTGTCAGAGATTGACAGATCTGTGTCAGTATGCCAGTAAAACTTAGTTTTACTTTTAACACTTCAAAACTTCAGTTTTCCTACTTGAATTTTCTGATGAATCTTTAATTCTTAAGTTAATGAATGAGTAAGCTCACGGTGACTTCTACGGCAATCGTAGAAATTCCCCTTTTGCATCGTTAAATTCCGAGCTTACTAACTTTCACAAAATATTGCAATGACAATCATATGAATGTTGGTCGTTATTTTAAGTGGGTACAAATGAAAAGATTTTATTGACAACTTTTTTTCAATTCACTGAAACAATCTTTAAATATTTCTTTCTTTCATTTTCACACTGAAACCAAGTAGTGTATTTCCTCCTCTTCTTTCAAGATAGAGGAGGTTGTCTCAGCCTTGAAGCTTAAGAAAAGGTATTGGATCATGAAAACACTTTTATTACTAAACTGAAAAGTTTTCAGTGAAAACTATCCTGGTTGGTAATTCTGGTAACTTTATTTACAAATATAAGAAGTTTGTAGAATTGGGGCCATAATTCGCATACACAAAAATATGAAAGTAAAAAATTTGCTAAAACTTTGGAAGAACAATTATGGAGGACTTTTTGAAAGAAAACAATTGCAGAACAAAGAACTTGTGAAGATTGTTGGTGCAATTGCAATAATCTTCATATCCAAAAATTGTTCTAATGGATGTATTTTGGAGATGTTCTAAAACCAGCTTTAGGTGCCGAGCAATAAATCCAGCTCCCTCCCGAAAGAAAGGTATTACCTTGGGGTTAGGCCCCCTGGGGCTCAAGTTTTAAAAATATTTGAACCTCCCCGAGCCAAAAGGCCGCCAGCAAGCATCTTCTTCACGAATGGAAATATACAGGGTGATTGGAAAAGTAACTCCCTATGCACTTGTAAAAATTAGTTAGACATGAGAGTTCATGTTGTTGGACAGTTCTGTTCTTTATTTTGCACTTGACCATGGCTACATACTCCACAATTTTGCTTTTATATTATTATTTTTTAAAATTATCGTCACGTTTTTTTGTATAAATATTTTAAAATAATAAAGTCTTGCACGATTTCCATTCATCTAATTTCAAGGGCAGATAATTATAGAAAAATTACTGAGTAACTTCCCTTGTAACATGAAACTAAAGAATTATGAGGCTATAATAGTTTATTATTGTGACAGTTGAAATTTCTAGGGCACATAAAATTCAAAAAGGGCTTGAAAAATCTACACTCACATGACATACTGAAAACTAAAGGGACAGAGAAAAATAGCGTATAACCGCTGCCTAACGAGCTTGTGTAAATGGATGTGCGAACAGGGTTTAAGCATGATAGCAAAGATAAAATTTATTGAGCTACAAAGGATAGGAAATTGTGAAGAGCACAGTAGAAGAATTAATTATTAATCTAAAGAAAAACAGTACCTAACCTAATTAGCTATGTTCAGTCAAATACAATTTCACTGAACATCCAAAGAAAATACGACTGAAATATTGAAATGCACTTTCGAAAGTTTTACAATTCAGTTATTTGTGTTTAGTAACTCAACTCTCAAAGTTTTTGTTCACCTCTGGACACATGGCCCAGTGGATAAAAAAAGCATTAGTTGAAGTAATCCAGTGACTTGACACAAAGAATTCAATACCTGGCCACAGCAGAATGCAGAGTCCTGTTGATAGACATAGGGTCTTACAGCAGCCATACTTTTGACCCAGGACAGCACTACCTTCTCAAGGCCTCTGTGTTTCAGTCTGAGGCCCTGTGGGAAGATAAATGGAGGCTGGAGGCATAACATCACCATCACTAGTAATCACTCCAAACATCATCATTTGACTCATCCAACTCTTTACAAATCCTCAGCATTGCCCTTAGATTGACATCCAAATACTGAAATGTTCATATTGGAGTTTCCAGCACAAATGCCAAGCAGTAAAGCATGCTGTTTCCAAATTTCTGGTGGAGTGAATTGCATCATGGTGCTCTTTTTATCACAGATGGTGCCAAACTGACCCTACTATACTGTGCAGTTAACAAAATCAAAAACAAACGCACAAAATTAAAAATATAAAATGGTGATAATTTACCTATCACACCCTGTAATAAGAATTGTGACATAGTTTTAATGTGGAGAGAAAAAAGAAGCCTTGGAAGTGTTTGATGTCTTATTCAAGTACAACATATGAAAAATAAATCTACACAGC